CATCTAAAATAGAGATTTTCTAGATTTTTTTACGATAGTCTGTAGTCGATAGACTTTTAGCTCGGGTTGTCATTTAATGGGCAGCTAAGGATTATTATTTTTAGCGACCAGTTTAAAATAATGCTCCTATATATTATGTTTATAATAAGGGAATAGTTTGATCTTATATCCCATGCTCTTAACATATTTGCAAATATGTTGATGTGTAATGTATAATTTGTGAAATATGAGTATTGCCTTTTGCTGTTTTCGACTTGGTTTATTTTGTATTTTTTTTGTTTGTTTGATATTTTAAATATTTTTTATATTTTTTATTTGTAGCTGCAGTCAGTCGTGCGTTAAAAATTAAACGCGAATTTTTCAGGCCGCGTTGGCAGCGCAAAAATGGCATCATTAAGTAAAAGGCCTTAGGCCAGGCATTGTAAATTTTATGAGCCTTTTTTTGTGTCGTTAATAATACAAAAAATATATATGTGTTTACACACACAAATGTTTGCAAGCTGTGTGTGTGTGTGTGCCATATATAAATAATAATAATAATAATGATGCGTAAAAAGTGCGGAAATTCTCAGCCAACATATGTTTGGGGGCTTTCGGGCGAACCATTTTCAGGCTCATCGCAACCATTTTCTGTTTGTTATTATATATTGATTAACACGCAAAATGCACAAACCATGGCATGGAAAAAAAAACTACATACTTGAATAAATATGCATGGGCCAAGTTGGCGTGGCTGCGGGGCAGGGGTTGGCGTTTCTGCGGATTGTGTGGATTGTGGCTACTTTAAAAACCCATCAACAATTATTACTATGAGAGGAATACATCTGGCTGTCGACGCTGATTTTGTAGACATGCCACATACACTCGCACACACACACGCACATTGGCATTCATATGTGTGACCACGCCCACGTTTGGCCCCCTCTACCCTGGAGCATTCCAAACAATAAAGCATAAAGCGCGCCGCGCACATTTTGTCGAATTATTTTGTTGCCAGTTGCTGGCGGCTAACTGCAGCAAATTGGCTTGAAATATTGGTATTGCCATATGTATGAGTTCTCTCTCTCTCCCCCTCCCCCTTTCGCTCTCGCTTGCTCTCTTTTTCTCTGTGTGCACGTACAATACGAGTGTGTGTGTGAGCTTGTGATTAAAAAAATATTTAAAATGGCAAAACCCAAAGCGACGTCATCGCAACCAAAATAAAAAAAATAAATAAAAAGAAATGGAAGCTCCGATTTTCTCTCATATGTGTGTAAAGCTTTGCCTCAAAACTGAAAGCGTAGCCGAAAGAAGTAATAAAGGAAGCCCAAGAGCGCGACGAGACAACAAGATACCCTATATGGCGCTTCTCAATTGGTTTTAATTCAATGTGGCTGCGGCAGTGGGGCAGTGCTCATTGCGAGAGCTTAGTTAGAACTTCGTTTGTATCGTGTTTAACTCTAACTCCGACTAAGCATACCCTTTGCAGCTGACAGAGAGAGTATTACAATAAATGGACTCCCCTTTGCCCAGTTCCGGCCTACGCCCCGCTTTCACAATGAGTGAAATGAGCGATAAAATTGCAACAATTTCCACTGGCAACGTCCTCGTCCTCGTCTGCGTCGTCCTCATCGTTGGCGTTAGTCGCTGCCGTGCCCCCGTTGCTCTGATAAAATATGAAAAATTGAAATGTCACTGGGCAGCGAACAATCATTGGAATCGCTCACATGCACACACACACACGCACACACAGAGTGACAAATATGCACCCACATATGCAGCTTGCAGTTGTTGTTGCAAGTTGCAACTTGCAACAATGGCCACTTGTATGCAAATAGCGCAATAATATGAAGTATGTACAAAATTAATTTCGCCTGCGGCCCAGTTGCAGCTCGGTTAACAATTGCCAATGAAAAATGATGTGACATAAATGCGTGTCGGTTGTGTGGAGCGGTGCGGGACGGGGCGGGGCGGGATTCTGGTTAAGGGAATTGGTTTTTGGGTTGGGTAGAAAAGGGCTGCGGCTTGTGACTGGGCGTTGTTTGGGGGCAAAAAGTTGGCACTCATTTTAATTACAGCTGCCTAACTGCACGCCCTTCTCTGCTCCACTTGCTCCCTTCGACTCCTCTCTCTCTCTCGCGTTCTCTCTGTCTCTCTTGCTCTCTGGCTGTTTTGAAATTCGCCCGGCGGCGTATTTATCACAAGTTTTTCTTTGCACAGCCTTGGGGCAACTACGAAATATTTCAGCTGCCCGACGTAGTCGTCGTCATCGTCTGGAACTGGAACTGGTTCGCCTCAGGCGTTGTTGCCAGCGACGTTTCTGCTGCTGTTTCTTTTGCCAACGCGTCAAAGTCTCTGCGACGCTGGCGCTGGCGCTGCTGCTGCCGCTGCCGTTGCCTATGCGCACAAAGTTTCATTTCGTTTTGAGCCTTCCGGCGGCAACAGCAGCGTTCTATGCTTTGTCATTAACACAAACACACACACACACATACACACACACACACACTCATACGCAGAGAGTCAGAGCGAGAAATAGAAAGAGAGAGAGGGAGAGAGTGTGTGCAAAAGAGAGAGAGAGAGGGAAACAACCGCACATGCAAAGCGAAAAAACGGAAGTTGTAGCCGAAGTCAGAATCTGACTTTGACACTTGCAACTTATGCATGTATACACATTACAGTGCATAAGTATGCTATATATAAATGATCGTAAGGGTCAGCTGAAATATACATGCTACAAATTGATTAGCTTCAAGTTACTCGAAAAAGATGCACTAATTTTGATGATCTTTGAATATCGAGTGCAACAAAGCTAAGACTTGCATTTCAAGCATGAGTAAGATATACTTGTGCTGACAATACATATATATTATAGTATATAATGTATATAGTACATAAATATATACATATAAGCTTTCAATATAATATATTTAAATATCACTTTTAAATACATCTCCTTAGCTCCGTTTCTTACACAAAGATTGGTTGTTTTAAAATCTCAATAACATTTCTTACTATAAAGTTAAATGTGGATAGCTTAACATTCACGGTAGGAATGTTGTGTATGCTTGGATTAACATATATTTATGCACGGATTTGTATGTTTGTTGCTGCATTGATTACCCTTCAGAACAATCAAAACTGTCGCCATTTCACACGCCACACGCAAGTCCAGTTATAAAGTTAATTGCGGCAGCTTAGTTGCAAACAACAACTGAAACAGCAACAGCAACAGCAACAGTAACAGCAATAGCAATAGCAACAGCAACAGCACTTAAACCGGAAATAGACTATTAAACGTTCACATGCACACACACACACACACACACACATAGACTCACACAATCAAACACTTGCAACTGGCAGTCATATGGTGGGAAAAGTCAGCAGCAACAACTAAACAATCGTTTGTTGTAGCCACTTGTGTTCTCTCTCTCTCTCTCTCTCTCTATCTCTCTCGCTAAGCATCTCCCGCTGATGCTGCAGCTGCTCTCTCCAAGGTCGCCATTTGCTAAAGACGTCAAACGTCAAACATCAAACACGAGTTGCAACTCGAGCCGTGCTCGAACACAACAACGACTTACAACGCGAACATTCTAATAAGCTAATGTAAACAACAATTTCAAATTAGTTAAATGCTTGCAATTCGTTTTTAATTGCTGCTTAAACATTTATTTAATTTCCTTTATTTCATTTAATGTTTGCTTCAATCATAAACGAAATCAAATTTAACTTGATCATAAAACTTTTTTAGTTTTGATTAGTTTAGGTGCATGTTAGCTAACATTCTAATCAGAGACATTCCGATAAAAGGGTAGAGACATGATGCTAATTAGATAAGTGACTCAGAGCACAAAAGTACATAGCAAAGATATTTATTAGAGGCTTGAAAAGTAGATGAGTTTTTTTTTTAAATATTAAGTTTTAACGGAAGAAAAATACGAAAAATACAGAAAGAAATTAACACACATCACTAAAATATATCCTTCAGCTTACTTATAGTTAGTTATATAATAATCATCTAAATAAAGATAAAGATAAGTTTCTACCCCAAGTCTATAAAAGAACCTTTGCAGTTGGCATAGCCTCTGGTCAAGTGTTTTGGCTTGAAGGCAACATGTTTGACACGGAGTAAAAACCAGTTGGATGTCGAACCACGATTCAGTTCACAGCGAACGCTCGGCGCGAATGCAAGTCAGGTAAAAAGCAATTGAAAAGCGCTACAGAGATTAGTAGGCAACATACGGCGGGCGCGACAACAACCGGAAACCGGAAGTAAACATTTTAAGTGATTTGCAGTGTGTGTGCGGCGCCATTTTGCAATTAGCAATGCGTTCAAATTGAAATTTAGAAACATTAGAAGCGGAAATTAAATGCTAGCTAAATAAAACCAAATTTTAATATAAAACAAACTAACTCTTTTTTAACTAAAAGAAAAACGTTATAAATTTGTTGTCTACGCGCGCTGTTGCATATAAAATAGTTAAAGTGCATTTCCTAAATATACCGACTTTCTTGTGAGTTCCAATTGCATTGTATGTGGAGTGTGTGTGTGTGTGTGTGTATTTGTCTAGGTCTATGTTTAAGTGTGTGTGGATTGTGTGTGCGTGTCGTTAAGATGCAACAGTTTATTTTGATTTGTTTTATACCTAGTCTCAATGCGTTTTTTTAAAAAATAGTTTTGAAATATTTATTATTTAATTGTATGCAGGATTTTGGAAAGTTGCCCAGTGGCAGCTCTTGGGAAACATTTTTATTTCTGTGTCAAATTCATATTTGTTATGCGGGCGCCGTTGGGCTCGGCTCTTGTTAAGTGGTTCAGTTAAGAGCTCTTTGGTAATGATCTTGGCCACACACTTAAGTATTAAAATCCTTATCAATTAAGCAAGAAATTGTCTTTATTTATGTTGCCAGGGATGATCCTGCATAATTGTATGTCTCTTTATTAGACAACTATCAACTATTAATGTAATATTTAATCTTGGCACCCAGCAATAATACAAATATTTCTTTTTACCCCTTAGAACTCCATTTGTTGCATTGGATCAACGATCACCATTGACGGTGGAGTCCTCCTGCCCCAAACGGTGAGTAAATCTCAATCCAAGCAAAACAAAAAACCAGAAAAGTCTCTCATTCGCGCTCTCTCTCTATGTTTATCTCCCTCTCTGTCTCAGTCTCTCTCTCTTTCTCTGTAAGCTAATAAATTAGTTCAAAAAAGATTCTGTAATAAACGAATTTTGAGCACGTAACTGAACACAGGCAACGACTCCGGTTGCATGCCACAGAGAAACCTCTTTAATATTTTTTTTTTTTTTGGTTTCCCCTTTTGTTGTTGAGTTTTGTACTTTTTTTTTGTGGCCTGGGCCACACGCGCCTGGGGCTCAACTGATTTTCGTCTCTCCCACAACTGCGGCACATGCCACGTCCACGTCCACGTCCAAGTCCAAGTCCAAGTCTTAGTCCGTGTCCGAGTTCGTGTCCAAGTCCGAAAATTGTGTGCCATAAACGCAGACGTTTTAAAAATTTGATGCGCCTCAAGTGCTGCTCGGCCCGCACCAAAGGAGAAATAAACAAAAGTACGAAGAACAAAACAGAAAAAAATACAAAATACAAAAAAAAAAAAAATTGTACCACGCCGCGGGCTTTTTTCGACAAACTTGGCCCGCAGCTGAGTTATGTGTGTGGTGTGTATGTGTTTGTTTGTGTGTGTGTGTATGGTGTGTGTGTGTGCCAAAAGATGACGACGACGACAAATGATGAGGAGAACGACTGCGCGGTGCGGTTAGGTCGCATTATTTTTTGTTTTACCTTAAAGGCTATAAAATACATGGGCTAAGGAAGCTGCTCGTGTTGCTGGAGGGGGCGTGAGGGGACCTGGGGGGGTGGTGCGATTGACCAGTTGTTGTGATTGTGGCGGCGGGTATGGCCAAAATGCCCGACAGGCTCCAAAGCCCACATGCAGCAACAACTACAACAAATTGCAAAGTTCAAAGCATGGCCAAAACCAAAATCACAATGAAATGAGGCAACAACAAAAAAAAAAATAAACAAAAAGATCTCAAAAGCAGCCGCAACAACAGACAAAAGAAGTGGCAGAAGTTTTGGGCGACCTTCGACAGACGCGACACTGCGACAATTGCTGCCAAACAGTTGCTCTCTCTTTCCCTCTCTCTCTCTCTCTCTCTCTCTCTCTCTCTCTCTCCAACTTTGTGTCTGTCAGTATTTGGGGCAAGCAACTGGTTTAAGCTTGAGCGAAGGCGGAATCGCTGGCAAAGTCAAAGTCGTTTGTTTTGTGGCATTAGCGTAACGTAACGTAACGTAACGTAACGTAGCTGTGTGGCTGCCTCACGTGCTAATGCTGCGGCAGTCACCGCTGCCACGAAATTTGTTTTCTCAATTGGCAATTTGTGCGCGTTGTATTTAAAATACATTTGCGTTCGCCCCAATCGCAAGTGATTGCCATTACAGACCAACAGTCAAAGGATGGATGGCAGTGGAACTGGCAAATGGCGAATGGAAATGGGAAATGAAAATGGGAGTGCATTTGAATGCCCATTCAAAATGCTCTTGTTGCTCTTGCTGCTGCTGCGGCTGCGGCTGCGTTTGCGGCTGCTGTTCCACACAAAGCGCTTAACGCGCTGTGTGTTAATTAAGCTGCAATTGGGCATCATTAGCAGCAACAACATTTGCCAACATTGGCAACATTGCCAATTGCCAGTCGACAGGCGAAGGCCAACAGGCAGCTGACTTACAGCCAGCTCAGCTCGACTACGTAATGCCCTTTCTAACATAAACTCAACTTAAAGGGGCAACAAGGTATGTGGCCTTTAAGATTTAAGTTTTCTTTCGAGTGTCAATTAAGTTCATATATTTTATTATATATATCGGAAAGTATATAATTTGATATATATAGATATATAGCTTTTAAGTAAAGTCTATTTTGTCAGTTATAAAGTCGAATATAACTGAAAAATAAATAATAAGAAAATCATGAGTATAATCTTTGAATTTCTTATTTTTATTTTATAAGAATATAGTAGAAATGTTGAGCAAATTCTATGTTCAGACTGCAATAATAGTTTATTGTAGCTGTAGCTCGGCACAAATTCAATATGCCCTCTTAAGTATTTTGCGTATAGGGTATAAGTGAAAAGGCAATTGTTGGTGCTGCTGCGGGTCGCTGCACCTGCGCCTGCATTTGTTTCACTTGCTGTCGATTTGCTTTGTGTTGCATCTGCTGCGAGTTGTTGTTGTTGCTGCTGCTGCTGCTGCTGCTGTTGCTCCTGTTGTTGTTGTTGTTGTTGTTTCTGCTGTTGTAAATGCTGTTATTGCAATATGCACACGCAAATTGCGCCAATTAGGAAATGCGCATTGCCTGCTGCCAGTTGCGAGTTGCCCGTTGCAGCAATGCATTGCAAGAGGCATTTGCCACTTGAATGGCTGCCGCATGTAACTGATGCTGTTTGAGCTGCATTCAACTGGAAGCCTTGTTGTTAATTTTTATGTGCACTTGATTAGGCCCCAATGAATAAACGAATGAATGCCGCCGCAACAGAATGAATCCGTAAATGAATCAACGAATCCACTTTTCAATCGCCCAAATTGAGAAAACAGTGCAATTCAATTGGGCCTTTGCATTTTCTAATAGTTGTCTATATTGTTGCTGTAGACCAGAGTTTTCTATTATCAATCAATCAATCAGTTTTTTCTCTTTTTTTGCTGCATATAATTGACTTTACCTATGCACAATGCGGCGTATGCGCAATTCTTTTTGTGTCTACTTTGTTGCTGTTGCATGTCTTCTTCTTTTACTGCTGCTGCTGCTGCTTTACTTGCAATTCAATTTTTGAAGATTTAGCTATAAAAACACTTGAGTGGGAGTTGTCTGTGTGTGTGTGTGTGTGTTTGTGTGTGTTGTCTGTGAGTTTTGTGTAATGTTTGCTCTGCAACGCAGGCCAAGCAATCGCATGCTGCCAGCTCTCCAGTTAAGTTCACATATATATAAACATATATCTATCGCTATATAGCAACTGGCATCTGCCACATGTGGCATACTCTGGGCCTGCCTGCCACACACTCACATTCATTCCGTGCTGCTTTTTGGCATATGCAGCGCAATCGTCGTTTTTATTTAATATTTTCTAATAAATTTTTCAAAGTTTATTTTTGAAAGCCTCGCAGCGTTTTAATATCTGCTACACTCGACTCGACTCGACTCGAACTCAACTTTTGCCACACACACATACATATAGAGCGCATATATTTGTACAATTTGGCACACACACACACACACACACACACACACACACACATACACTCGCAGACATTCTGCAACTTTTGCTAGCAAATTTTCATAGGACTTGCGACTGATTTCCCATATGCGCCGGCGACTCCCTGCAACAGCTGCCTCAACGGCAACGGCTTCAGTTTTTCGTGGCCTTTTGTAACTTGCTGCTGGCTAAGCAGAGGAAGAAGCAGCACAAGTTTTCTCATGTGCTGCTTTATGTGTGTGTGTGTGTGTGCAACAAACTGAATCCTGCTGCTTGGCTCTGGCTTTTGCTTTTGGCTTTTTGTGGCGCCTCCCGCGTCCAACCATAAAAAAAAAAAAAAAAATAGAAAAAACGAAACAAAAAAACTTTTTCATTTGCCTGCTCATCAGCGTTTTGATTTTGGCCGCCAACTCCAGTTGCCAGTTGCCAGTTGGCAGTTGCCGGCTCCCCAGTTGCTACAGCTGCCACAGCTGCCCCAGTTGCCTGCTCCCCAGTTGCCAGTTCGCAGCTTCCACTCGACACTTGAGGCATTGGATTCTTCTTAAAGTGTCCTGCGGCCATTTGCGTGATTTGTGTGCGTGTGTGTGTGCGTGTGTGTGTGCGTGTTTGCAGTGAAGCATATAGGAGCACTTTGTGTTTGTCTTGCCAACATACACAAACCTGGCCCAGACCTGCCCCAGCACTGGGCATAGAACTGCCAGCCCTTAGTTACCTTTTACCCAATCCAACCCGAGCTCCTGCCCTGCCCTACCCAGCCCACCTTGCAGTTGGCTTTTTGTCTCGCAATGCCACTGGAACTAATTGAAGCGCATTTTGGTGGCAACTGTTGTTGCAACTAGTTGTTGCAGCAACGCGATAAATGCGCCTCAAATAAGTTGCATGCAAAACTTGGTGGCATCTACTTGGCTTAGCCACAAACACACATCGCCCCCTCATATGCGCTGGTCTCCTGCTAGCGAGAGAGTGCAGCAGGGAGATGCAGAGCGGGTGGCGGAGGCGGGGGGGCGTTTTTGGGCGGTTGGCAGCCAGAAGAGGAGCCAACGCTTGGGCCGGCGGCATTTTAAAATTGAGATAAGGTTTTGCCTCGACAAACTTTCGTTTCTGGCACTGGGAACTGGCTGAGGATTTGGTTGGTGGGTTTGGGTTTGGGTTTGGGTTTTTGGGGCTTTGGGGCTTTGATTTCTTCTTCTTATTCGCTTATTTTCAACTGTTGTTGTTGCTGTTGAGCTCTGTTTTATGCGTTGTTTTATGTTGCCGCAGGGAGCCGCAACTTAGGTATGATATCTTTAAATGCAGACACACACACACACACACATGCACACTCACACATATGTGTGTGTGTAAGCCAAAACGGACACCCAACTTACCTCTAACCAAAGCCCAAAGTTTTCCTGTGTGTGTGTGTGTGTATATTGTTTTGGGGCAACATACACAGAACAGAAAGCAGAGACCGGAGCCGGAGTCGGAGTTGAGCGTGGAGCGTGGAGTCGCCTTGTCGTGGTTACAGCCAATGCTTCATGCTCTTTTGTTGTTGTTGTTGTTGTTTGTGCCTTTAGCACTGCAAGGATAAATGAATGAGGAGGCGAACACACATACACACACTAACACACACATGCAGCAGCCGCCCTAGGAGCCGAGCAATCCACACTCCACCCTTCTCGCAATATGACCATACCCAATCTCCGAGCACCTTTGCTATATATGAGAGCTCCTCCTGCCGCTTGCTTCGACTGGGTCCACCTTGGCTTGGCTTGGCCTGGCCTGGCTTGGCTTGGCTTGGTGTTGCTGTTGGTTTTGGTTTCGTTTCGTATCCATCCATGATTTCCGCACTAATTCCAAACGATCGCCGCTGGCGAAGACGAGCGTTTTGCCCTTTTTCGTCGAGCTGCTGCATACACTGAAGGTGTGGTGCGGGGGGGAGGGGCGTGGGCGGGTGCGGTTGCAGGTCGAGCATAGCAGAGCAGAGCACAGGACACACTGTCTGGCTGGCCTTTGTGTGCGGAAGGTTGCCTGGCCGCAGGACATTTTGTAGGGGTTACATAGTCAGCGTCAACGTCAACGTCAACGTCGTCGTCGTCGTCGTCATCAACCTCTGATGCTGCCGCTGTCGCTGCTCTGCCGAGGTGTATATCACTGAAGCTGTATGTTGATCTATGTGTGTGTGTGTGTGTGTGTGCACTTTAGCTCATTTCTTGGCTTTTGTTATCGCTTTTATGTGGGTTTTGTGTTGAGGGGGCGAAGTAAAACAAGGAGCACAGCAGAACTGCAGGACTATAGCCAATTGCTGGGGCGCCCATGTCGCATTGAGATTGAACAGCTTGCGGCCGAGGGGCACGGCGACATGCCAGGCTGGCCAGTGCTGTTGCAGCTCTCTAGCCGGCGGCTAATTTTGTCTATGCTACGGACTCTGCAAAATTATTTGAGCCCGAGGCACTGCAGCAGCAGCAGCAACGACAACAGCAGCAGTTGCAACTCGATAGTTTTGGCCAAAATCTGAACAATGCCAAATAATAAGCTGTCTTTTTGCACTGGCCAGCCATCTCTCTCTCTTCCTCGCTCTCTGTTATGTGTAAAACAAAACTCAATTATGGCCCAAAATGCTAAGCAATATTCATGTGAAGCAGAGCTGAGTTAATGGCAATGCCATTAAAAGGCAAACCAAAGATGTCAGTCATCAAGATTCCAGCTGACGGCGCAGGCTATGTGAGACAGTGGTGGAGGAGGAGGGTGGTGGGTGGAGGGTGGCATTGGCAATGCAAGGGGGCGTATTCTGGTAGCCACAACAACGCCCACTCGAAATGCAAATGCAGCACCAGCAGCAGCAGCAGCAGCAGCAGCTTGACAGGCACAGGCCAAAGCATAGGCCAAGGCACAGGCTCAGCTCTTTTAGACGGCAACAACAACAGCAACAACAACAACAACATTTGGCAACAGCAACTCTTCAAAATTTCATGCTAAACTGAAGTGTAACCAAAGGCGTTGCAAACAGCGTTTGCCCTCTTGCTTCCACACACACGCACACAGCAGCTGCTCCGGCTCGCTCTCGCTCGCACTCTCCCTTCCTCTCTCTCTCTGTCTCCCTCTGTCTCGCTCCGACTCGCGCTCTGCCTGGCTGCCTGTTGTGGTCCCTGCTCGGGCGCATAGAAAAGATAACGCCTGGGGCGCTATTGGACTAGAATAGGTTGCAAAACTGCAAAGCTGCAGTGTGTGTGAGTGTGTGTGTGTGTGCCTGTGCTTATATACAATGCCGTTAACAGTGGGTGGGTGTGTGTGTGCACGTATGTGTGTGTGTGTGTGCCTGCTGCACCTGCTGCTGCTGCGCCAAGCAGCCAGACTGCCAGCCAGCCTGCAACCTGCCTCAAGTGGACCGCAAAGCAATTGAAATTGAATTGTTTTGTGGCACAGACCTCCAGCTGCAAGCTGCATATGTGCCTCTCATTCTTCTTCTTCTTGTTGTTGCTGCTGTTGTTGTTGCTGTTGCTGTTGTTGTTGTTGTTGTTGTTGTTGCTGTGGCATTTAAGCCATATTCATTGGCCATGTTTTATTGAGCGCACTGCTTACGCTTTTATAATTGTTGTAAATTAATAAAAATGTGAAACCCACCAACGCGAGACAGCTGCACACACACACACACACACACATACATTCAGTCACACACACACACACACACACACCCACAGAGACTATGAGAATTGCCCCGCGGACATTTTCTTTAGCAATTCTTTTTTTAACCCTGTTTTTTTTTCCAACGTCGCTTTGGCATTTTTTCGTCTTGAATACGAATACGAATACAAATACTCGTACTCGCACTCGTATTCGTATTCGTATTGGTATTCGTACTCATACGAATGCGAATGCGAATGCTCATGTAGTTAAAGTTAATCAAATCGTAATTACCCGAGCCATATAGCCCAAGGGCTAAAAACATTTTAAAAAGCAAACTTGTTTAGTAAATACGCTCAGCTCAGCTGGAAGAAGATGCGGGCAGGGGGCGATCCAGCTGGGGCCGGGTCATAGACTGTAGAGTAAGCTGCATGCAACAACTGGGTGTGGTGAGGGGAGGGTGCTGAGAAGGGGTGGGGGAAGGGGTAAGGTTAACTGCCAACTGGCAATTGGTCTGTGGCCTAATGCGCATAACAGACAAACAAAATAAAAAATGGGCAAAGAATTGGTAGAAAAATGTTTCAGTCACAAGTCGACGACTAGCAGATGCCCTGTAAAAAGCGGCTAAGATATTAACAGCTTTAGTTTTGTGGGAAAATGTAGGAAGAATAGTGAGAGATTCTTATAATATAAAATATTAAACAGATTTAATATAGGTAATTTACACTAAATCGACAACTAAATCCTATAGCTAGTTGCCAAAGGAACGATCGTTATTGAAGATATCTCGGCTCTTTGTTGTTTTATCTTAAATCTAGCAAAGTGTTTGCATATTCCTTTTGCTTACTATAACTAGGGCCCATAAATTAGGCATGTGCTTAAGTTGTGATTCGTAAATCGATATTATGTATTCTATCTTAAATGAAATTGAAATGCAAATGCAAAAACCTATAATACCCTTTGAAAATGTGTACAGGGCATATGTTTGCGACCCTACTAACTGCATGCAATTGGCAAAGGCTAAGGCGACGAGGCAAACGGACGTGGCAAAGGGGCAGGTATTTAACTGCACGCCCGACCCCTAGTCTATTACAGCCCCCCCGTCCCCCTTCTACCCCCGCACACGTTGATTGAGTTTTATTAATTTGTTGTCCATGACGACTGCTAATGATACGACAGCTAAGCGAGCTGCTGATGAGAGAGAGAGGCAGAGAGAGAGAGAGAGAGAGAGAGAGAGAGAGAGAGAGAGAGAGAGGGGGCGGCAGTGAGACAGGGATAGGCTTGATGCGATTATTACGCAAAACGCGTTGGCCGCTTAGCCGTTGATTGTGGCCGGGATAACACATGTGGGGCACACACAGCTTGACATGTCATAATTAGCGTGCCTGATGCCGCGGCCTGTGTTGCATGCAGTTTTGTTGCACGCGCTGGCTGCGTCTCGGTTCAGTTTTGTTGCCATAACGATGCTCAAATCAACGTGATTTTCGTGTGAAAATCGAGGCGCATGCCCAGCGGTCAATTTGACTGTGCAGCCAAAGCCAAAGCCGAAGCCGCAGCCCTGCCCCCGCCTGCCGCTCGCTCTTCGCTTTTTTTTTTTGTTGTTGTTGTCGTGGCTGCAACTCCAGCTGCAGGCAGCATGTGCGCGCGCGCGTCTGTGTGTGTGTGTGTGTGTTGTGTGGGGGTTCCAGCTCTTGGCATAAGTGAGTTAAACGCAATGAAAAGCCAAATATTCCCACACAATCATATGAAATACTTGGCGTTATATACAAAACTCTTAGCCCTGCTGTGCGAGGCGAATGCCTCGCAGCCATTTGCCTGGGCCATTTGCTTTGTCACGTTTGTTGTGCCCCGCCACCTCCCTCTCAACCGCTCCACCTCTCTGCCTGTCTCTGCCCTGTTGACTGCCTGTAATCGCGCTGCAGTCAATTTCTGTTGGCCAAATTGGTTCTCATGCTGCGACCAACTTACATAAGCTCATCAAGCTGTCTCTCAGACCCCCCCCCCCCGCCCTTCTCTCAGTCGAAGCCCTGCGACTACAACTAATTTGTCTTATTTAATCTGATTTTATTGTAGCAAAAAATGCGATATGGATCGAGAGCGCGAAAGAGATGCAAAGGGCCTCGAGCCGCGCGATTTATCCTCCACGGGCCGCATCTATGCCCGCAGCGATATTAAAATCAGGTAAGCGCGCCCTCCTCCCGTTCTAAGTTTATTTTAGTCTTACATATATGGATAATTTATTTTGCCACGCCCATGCCCGGCAGCGCTTCGCCCACCGTTTCGCCAACGATCTCAAATTCCTCATCGCCCACACCGACGCCGCCCGCCAGCTCCTCCGTGACGCCGCTGGGCCTGCCCGGCGCGGCGGCCGCTGCCGCTGTGGCCGCTGCCGCAGCAGCTGCTGCGGGCGCCGGACCTGGTGGTGGCGGCGCCTCGGCCGGGGCCAGTTCCTATTTGCACAACCACAAGCCCATCTCGGGCATACCCTGTGTGGCGGCCGCGTCCCGGTATACGGCGCCGGTGCACATCGATGTCGGCGGCACAATCTACACGAGCTCTCTGGAGACGCTTACCAAATATCCCGAATCGAAGCTGGCCAAGCTCTTCAATGGACAAATACCCATTGTGCTCGACTCGCTGAAGCAGCATTATTTCATCGATCGGGATGGTGGCATGTTTCGCCATATACTTAACTTTATGAGAAACTCAAGACTATTGATTGCCGACGATTTTCCCGACCTCGAGCTCTTGCTCGAGGAGGCCCGCTACTACGAGGTGGAGCGTAAGTATTACCCCCTCCCATCTCTTTACCCATCACTAAACACATTTAACCTGTTGCTAATTTGACTACTCCCCCCTCTATCTCTCTCTCTCTCTGTGTATCTGTCTCTGTCTCTGTTGCCCACGGCAGCCATGGTTAAGCAGCTGGAGAGTATGCGCAAGGAGCGCGTTCGCAATGGCAACTATTTGGTGGCGCCACCCACACCGCCAGCACGTCACATTAAGACCAGCCCAAGGACCAGCGGTGCGCCCGAGTGCAATTATGAGGTGGTCGCGCTTCACATCTCACCGGATCTGGGTGAACGCATTATGCTGTCGGCGGAACGGGCGCTGCTCGACGAGCTCTTCCCGGAGGCCAATCAGGCAACGCAGTCGAGTCGGAGCGGCGTCTCCTGGAACCAGGGCGATTGGCGCCAAATCATCCGCTTCCCACTCAACGGCTATTGCAAACTGAACTCCGTTCAGGTGCTCACACGGCTGCTGAACGCCGGCTTCACCATCGAGGCCAGCACCGGGGGCGGCGTCGAGGGGCAACAGTTCTCCGAATATTTGCTGGTGCGTCGCGTTCCAATGTGATAGGCTCCATGTCCAGGTCAACGTCTGCGTCAACGTTCTGGGCACTGTGTAATCGTAATCTTTGTGCGAGTTGCGCACTAATTGCTGCCCTTTAGGCGGCTCTTGGGGGTTTTACACGGGGGGAATGGGGCGGGCACGGGCACAGTAAACGGGGGCGGGCGTTAAGCAGCGGGTGCAGGATGCGGGGTGCAAGGTGCATGGGAGGGAGCGGTGTTTTTTGCGCAAAATTTTTAAAATCCAAATGTTATTTAATGTTTATATCAAATACGTTTTTGCTGGCAGTCAACCCATACACACAAACCACCCTCCCCATCCACCCACACACACATACTCACACGCGCACACACACAAACACACACACGCGCACACCATATACGTGTATTTCAATAGTATTTTAGGTAGAGCCCAGAGCCCCCAGCACTGATTTGTTTATGGCCTAAGTTCGGCATATTTAAAATAGTTTCTGTTTTCCTTTTTGTAGTACTTCCAATACGGTTATAATTAAAATACTTTCGGTTATTTAATTGCATAAAAAAAAACTAGCCAGACGGACAATTGTTGAGAATTGTCTTAAAGCATAACTTATATAATACGAGGCACACATATGTAGCTATCAAAAGAAAACAAAAATCAAAGAAAACAAAGTAAGTAAAAGAAAAACAAAAACTATGCAACTATATTGATTAAACTAACAGCAATAGTTTTGTAGTACATAATTGATGTAATTGAACTTTTATGAATGTAAACTATGGATTAACTTTTCAATATACATACATATATGCAAATACATATACATACATACATACCGACAAGTTCTACAATATGTGCAAAATATGAAAAATACTCAATCAAAACAAAACAAATAAATAAATTTTAAAAAACAGTTTGCGACTACTTCTAGCAAAATCCATTAAATTGTCTAAATGCGTACATTCAAATAAAAGAAAATATAAATAAATACAAATTATTTAAAAATAACCACGTTTTATTTAACTCAATAACGGCTAGAATTTGATTAGCGCCATCTACCGGTCAGTACTTTTGCACAACGCCATCTAAGTCGCACAAACGGGTTTCTGCGTCAACAAGAGACAAACAAACAAATACTTCAAGGATTGGGGCTTATTTGGCCAAGTTATAACCATTTAATGTTTTTGACTACATTTATTTACATAATGTCGTTTCAAAACGACATAACACCGCCATGATAATGGTTATGTGGGATTATGTCGTTTTGAAACGACATATCTCCAGCGCTCTAAAAACAACATTTTAACAAGAATTTTTGCAAAAATACCAGGCGAACAGAAATGACTAGCAGGTAGATGCACAGAAAATTTCCGCGGAGATATGTCATTTCAAAACGACATAACACCGCCATGATAATGGTTATGTGGGATTATGTCGTTTTAAAACGACATATCTCCACCGCTCTAAAAACAACATTTTTACAAGAAATTTTGCAAAAATACCAGGCGAACAGAAATGACTAGCAGCTAGATGCACAGAAAATTTCCGCGGAGATATGTCGTTTCAAAACGACATAGCTCCGCCATGATAATGGTTATGTGGGATTATGTCAAAATTATGTACAAAAATACCAGGCGAACAGAAATGACTAACAGGTAGATGGACAGAAAATTTCCGCGGAGATATGTCGTTTCAAAACGACATAACTCCGCCATGATAATAGTTTTGTGGGAATATGTCGTTTTAAAACGACATATCTCCACCGCTCTAAAAACAACATTTTTACAAGAAATTTTGCAAAAATACCAGGCGAACAGAAATGACTAACAGGTAGATGGACAGAAAATTTCCGCGGAGATATGTCGTTTCAAAACGACATAACTCCGCCATGATGATAGTTTTGTGGGAATATGTCGTTTTAAAACGACATATCTCCACCGCTCTAAAAACAACATTTTTACAAGAAATTTTGCAAAAATACCAGGCGAACAGAAATGACTAACAGGTAGATGGACAGAAAATTTCCGCGGAGATATGTCGTTTCAAAACGACATAACTCCGCCATGATAATAGTTTTGTGGGAATATGTCGTTTTAAAACGACATATCTCCACCGCTCTAAAAACAACATTTTTACAAGAAATTTTGCAAAAATACCAGGCGAACAGAAATGACTAACAGGTAGATGGACAGAAAATTTCCGCGGAGATATGTCGTTTCAAAACGACATAACTCCGCCATGATAATAGTTTTGTGGGAATATGTCGTTTTAAAACGACATATCTCCACCGCTCTAAAAACAACATTTTTACAAGAAATTTTGCAAAAATACCAGGCGAACAGAAATGACTAACAGGTAGATGGACAGAAAATTTCCGCGGAGATATGTCGTTTCAAAACGACATAACTCCGCCATGATAATAGTTTTGTGGGAATATGTCGTTTTAAAACGACATATCTCCACCGCTCTAAAAACAACATTTTTACAAGAAATTTTGCAAAAATACCAGGCGAACAGAAATGACTAGCAGGTAGATGCACAGAAAATTTCCGCGGAGATATGTCGTTTCAAAACGACATAACTCCGCCATGATAATGGTTATGTGGGATTATGTCGTTTTGAAACGACATATCTCCACCGCTCTAAAAACAACATTTTTACAAGAAATTTTGCAAAAATACCAGGCGAACAGAAATGACTAACAGGTAGATGGACAGAAAATTTCCGCGGAGATATGTCGTTTCAAAACGACATAACTCCGCCATGATAATAGTTTTGTGGGAATATGTCATTTTAAAACGACATATCTCCACCGCTCTAAAAACAACATTTTTACAAGAAATTTTGCAAAAATACCAGGCGAACAGAAATGACTAACAGGTAGATGGACAGAAAATTTCCGCGGAGATATGTCGTTTCAAAACGACATAACTCCGCCATGATAATAGTTTTGTGGGAATATGTCGTTTTAAAACGACATATCTCCACCGCTCTAAAAACAACATTTTTACAAGAAATTTTGCAAAAATACCAGGCGAACAGAAATGACTAACAGGTAGATGGACAGAAAATTTCCGCGGAGATATGTCGTTTCAAAACGACATAACTCCGCCATGATAATAGTTTTGTGGGAATATGTCGTTTTAAAACGACATATCTCCACCGCTCTAAAAACAACATTTTTACAAGAAATTTTGCAAAAATACCAGGCGAACAGAAATGACTAGCAGGTAGATGCACAGAAAATTTCCGCGGAGATATGTCGTTTCAAAACGACATAACTCCGCCATGATAATGGTTATGTGGGATTATGTCGTTTTGAAACGACATATCTCCACCGCTCTAAAAACAACATTTTTACAAGAAATTTTGCAAAAATACCAGGCGAACAGAAATGACTAACCGGTAGATGGACAGAAAATTTCCGCGGAGATATGTCGTTTCAAAACGACATAACTCCGCCATGATAATAGTTTTGTGGGAATATGTCGTTTTAAAACGACATATCTCCACCGCTCTAAAAACAACATTTTTACAAGAAATTTTGCAAAAATACCAGGCGAACAGAAATGACTAACAGGTAGATGGACAGAAAATTTCCGCGGAGATATGTCGTTTCAAAACGACATAACTCCGCCATGATAATAGTTTTGTGGGAATATGTCGTTTTAAAACGACATATCTCCACCGCTCTAAAAACAACATTTTTACAAGAAAGAACAGAAATAACTAGCAGGTAGATGCACAGAAAATTTCCGCGGAGATATGTCGTTTCAAAACGACATAACTCCGCCATGATAATAGTTATGTGGGATTATGTCGTTTTGAAACGACATGTCTCCACCGCTCTAAAAACAACATTTTTACAAGAAATTTTGCAAAAATAGCAGGCGAACAGAAATGACTAACAGGTAGATAGATGGACAGAAAATTTCCGCGGAGATATGTCGTTTCAAAACGACATAACTCCGCCATGATAATAGTTTTGTGGGAATATGTCGTTTTAAAACGACATATCTCCACCGCTCTAAAAACAACATTTTTACAAGAAATTTTGCAAAAATACCAGGCGAACAGAAATGACTAACAGGTAGATGGACAGAAAATTTCCGCGGAGATATGTCGTTTCAAAACGACATAACTCCGCCATGATAATAGTTTTGTGGGAATATGTCGTTTTAAAACGACATATCTCCACCGCTCTAAAAACAACATTTTTACAAGAAATTTTGCAAAAATACCAGGCGAACAGAAATGACTAGCAGGTAGATGCACAGAAAATTTCCGCGGAGATATGTCGTTTCAAAACGACATAACTCCGCCATGATAATGGTTATGTGGGATTATGTCGTTTTGAAACGACATATCTCCACCGCTCTAAAAACAACATTTTTACAAGAAATTTTGCAAAAATACCAGGCGAACAGAAATGACTAACAGGTAGATGGACAGAAAATTTCCGCGGAGATATGTCGTTTCAAAACGACATAACTCCGCCATGATAATAGTTTTGTGGGAATATGTCGTTTTAAAACGACATATCTCCACCGCTCTAAAAATAACATTTTTACAAGAAATTTTATGTTTTTTACAAGAAAGATATGTCGTTTGATAACGACATAACTCCGCCATGATAATAGTTAAAACGACATATCTCCACCGCTCTAAAAACAACATTTTTACAAGAAATTTTGCAAAAATACCAGGCGAACAGAAATGACTAACAGGTAGATGGACAGAAAATTTCCGCGGAGATATGTCGTTTCAAAACGACATAACTCCGCCATGATAATAGTTTTGTGGGAATATGTCGTTTTAAAACGACATATCTCCACCGCTCTAAAAACAACATTTTTACAAGAAATTTTGCAAAAATACCAGGCGAACAGAAATGACTAACAGGTAGATGGACAGAAAATTTCCGCGGAGATATGTCGTTTCAAAACGACATAACTCCGCCATGATAATAGTTTTGTGGGAATATGTCGTTTTGAAACGACATATCTCCACCGCTCTAAAAACAACATTTTTACAAGAAATTTTCCAAAAATACCAGGCGAACAGAAATGACTAACAGGTAGATGGACAGAAAATTTCCGCGGAGATATGTCGTTTCAAAACGACATAACTCCGCCATGATAATGGTTATGTGGGATTATGTCGTTTTGAAACGACATATCTCCACCGCTCTAAAAACAACATTTTTACAAGAAATTTTGCAAAAATACCAGGCGAACAGAAATGACTAACAGGTAGATGGACAGAAAATTTCCGCGGAGATATGTCGTTTCAAAACGACATAACTCCGCCATGATAATAGTTTTGTGGGAATATGTCGTTTTAAAACGACATATCTCCACCGCTCTAAAAATAACATTTTTACAAGAAATTTTATGTTTTTTACAAGAAAGATATGTCGTTTGATAACGACATAACTCCGCCATGATAATAGTTATGTGGGAATATGTCGTTTTAAAACGACATATCTCCACCGCTCTAAAAACAACATTTTTACAAGAAATTTTGCAAAAATACCAGGCGAACAGAAATGACTAACAGGTAGATGGACAGAAAATTTCCGCGGAGATATGTCGTTTCAAAACGACATAACTCCGCCATGATAATAGTTTTGTGGGAATATGTCGTTTTAAAACGACATATCTCCACCGCTCTAAAAACAACATTTTTACAAGAAATTTTGCAAAAATACCAGGCGAACAGAAATGACTAACAGGTAGATGGACAGAAAATTTCCGCGGATAATAGTTTCCATGATAATAGTTTTGTGGGAATATGTCGTTTTAAAACGACATATCTCCACCGCTCTAAAAACAACATTTTTACAAGAAATTTTGCAAAAATACCAGGCGAACAGAAATGACTAGCAGGTAGATGCACAGAAAATTTCCGCGGAGATATGTCGTTTCAAAACGACATAACTCCGCCATGATAATAGTTTTGTGGGAATATGTCATTTTAAAACGACATATCTCCACCGCTCTAAAAACAACATTTTTACAAGAAATTTTGCTAAAATACCAGGCGAACAGAAATGACTAACAGGTAGATGGACAGAAAATTTCCGCGGAGATATGTCGTTTCAAAACGACATAACTCCGCCATGATAATAGTTTTGTGGGAATATGTCGTTTTTAAACGACATATCTCCACCGCTCTAAAAACAACATTTTTACAAGAAATTTTGCAAAAATACCAGGCGAACAGAAATGACTAACAGGTAGATGAACAGAAAATTTCCGCGGAGATATGTCGTTTCAAAACGACATAACTCCGCCATGATAATAGTTTTGTGGGAATATGTCGTTTTAAAACGACATATCTCCACCGCTCTAAAAACAACATTTTTACAAGAAATTTTGCAAAAATACCAGGCGAACAGAAATGACTAACCGGTAGATGGACAGAAAATTTCCGCGGAGATATGTCGTTTCAAAACGACATAACTCCGCCATGATAATAGTTTTGTGGGAATATGTCGTTTTAAAACGACATATCTCCACCGCTCTAAAAATAACATTTTTACAAGAAATTTTGCAAAAATACCAGGCGAACAGAAATGACTAACAGGTAGATGGACAGAAAATTTCCGCGGAGATATGTCGTTTCAAAACGACATAACTCCGCCATGATAATAGTTTTGTGGGAATATGTCGTTTTAAAACGACATATCTCCACCACTCTAAAAACAACATTTTTACAAGAAATTTTGCAGAAATACCAGGCGAACAGAAATGACTAACAGGTAGAACCACAGAAAATTTCCGCGGAGATATGTCGTTTCAAAACGACATAACTCCGCCATGATAATAGTTATGTGGGATTATGTCGTTTTGAAACGACATATCTCCACCACTCTAAAAACAACATTTTTACAAGAATTTTGCAAAAATACCAGGCGAACAGAAATGACTAACAGGTAGATGGACAGAAAATTTCCGCGGAGATATGTCGTTTCAAAACGACATAACTCCGCCATGATAATAGTTTTGTGGGAATATGTCGTTTTAAAACGACATATCTCCACCACTCTAAAAACAACATTTTTACAAGAAATTTTGCAGAAATACCAGGCGAACAGAAATGACTAACAGGTAGAACCACAGAAAATTTCCGCGGAGATATGTCGTTTCAAAACGACATAACTCCGCCATGATAATAGTTTTGTGGGAATATGTCGTTTTAAAACGACATATCTCCACCGCTCTAAAAACAACATTTTTACAAGAAATTTTGCAAAAATACCAGGCGAACAGAAATGACTAACAGGTAGATGGACAGAAAATTTCCGCGGATAATAGTTTCCATGATAATAGTTTTGTGGGAATATGTCGTTTTAAAACGACATATCTCCACCGCTCTAAAAACAACATTTTTACAAGAAATTTTGCAAAAATACCAGGCGAACAGAAATGACTAACAGGTAGATGGACAGAAAATTTCCGCGGAGATATGTCGTTTCAAAACGACATAACTCCGCCATGATAATGGTTATGTGGGATTATGTCGTTTTGAAACGACATATCTCCACCGCTCTAAAAACAACATTTTTACAAGAAATTTTGCAAAAATACCAGGCGAACAGAAATGACTAACAGGTAGATGAACAGAAAATTTCCGCGGAGATATGTCGTTTCAAAACGACATAACTCCGCCATGATAATAGTTTTGTGGGAATATGTCGTTTTAAAACGACATATCTCCACCGCTCTAAAAACAACATTTTTACAAGAAATTTTGCAAAAATACCAGGCGAACAGAAATGACTAACAGGTAGATGGACAGAAAATTTCCGCGGAGATATGTCGTTTCAAAACGACATAACTCCGCCATGATAATAGTTATGTGGGATTATGTCGTTTTGAAACGACATATCTCCACCGCTCTAAAAACAACATTTTTACAAGAAATTTTGCAAAAATACCAGGCGAACAGAAATGACTAACCGGTAGATGGACAGAAAATTTCCGCGGAGATATGTCGTTTCAAAACGACATAACTCCGCCATGATAATAGTTTTGTGGGAATATGTCGTTTTAAAACGACATATCTCCACCGCTCTAAAAATAACATTTTTACAAGAAATTTTGCAAAAATACCAGGCGAACAGAAATGACTAACAGGTAGATGGACAGAAAATTTCCGCGGAGATATGTCGTTTCAAAACGACATAACTCCGCCATGATAATAGTTTTGTGGGAATATGTCGTTTTAAAACGACATATCTCCACCACTCTAAAAACAACATTTTTACAAGAAATTTTGCAGAAATACCAGGCGAACAGAAATGACTAACAGGTAGAACCACAGAAAATTTCCGCGGAGATATGTCGTTTCAAAACGACATAACTCCGCCATGATAATAGTTATGTGGGATTATGTCGTTTTGAAACGACATATCTCCACCACTCTAAAAACAACATTTTTACAAGAATTTTGCAAAAATACCAGGCGAACAGAAATGACTAACAGGTAGATGGACAGAAAATTTCCGCGGAGATATGTCGTTTCAAAACGACATAACTCCGCCATGATAATAGTTTTGTGGGAATATGTCGTTTTGAAACGACATATCTCCACCGCTCTAAAAACAACATTTTTACAAGAAATTTTGTGAAAACAAAATTTCGTTGCATACGCGCACGGGGCAAGCCGTTAAATTTCAAATGCAACCAACCGCCGAGCTAAAATGCTCGTTATATTTAAAAAAGGTTAAAAAATCTATCTACTTAAAATCTTCAGATTTTGAAACACAATTAAAAAAGACGTAAATTCTTCAAAAAGTTGCGAAAATCGGCGTTGCCGTATATAACAAATTGATAATAAATAGGCTGACTGGCAGCAGTTGCCCTTTGTCCTAGCGTTGAATAAAACATAATTAAGAATTTATTTTAAAATCGTTTTATTTACTCGTATATGCATAATTTTGCGTAGGTACTTGTAAACTAATTGCAATTAAATTAAATTAAATTAAAATTTATATGCCAAATTGTATATGTGTAAATATGCGTACAAGTTAAGCTGTTAATTGTATACAAATAAGTATTATAATCGCATTGATTGTGTATATTATTTACATATATCTTTGATCAATATAAAATAGACTAAACATCTTAAGATTATATTTCAGTTTCAACCTTAATGTGCCAACAAATTTTTCGAAATCTTTAGGAGAATTGCATAATCAATGCATGGCACGCTTGGGATTTATTGTTTTGTGTTTGTTTGTTTGCTTGTTAATCGTTTTTCTTGTTTTTTTTTTTTCGCAATGAAATCTGAACTATTTATCGAATTGATTTTGAAACTAGGCCCCAAAACTGTCTAAAGTAAGATCTGTGTGGCTATTCATAGAATTTAACAGTGGCCCACGAGTTTGTTCACAAGTAATTTAAAAAAATCTTAATTATAGAGAATTGCCTAGGAACTATATCACAGTTGGAGACTATTCACTAAAAGCCTATAACTCGTATTAGATATATATATGATATAGATAGATTGATAGATAAGATATTGTTGGATACGCTGCTTGAACTAGAAATAACTTTAGCTTAGTGGGGCGCCGCATGCAATACCGAAAAACCTGAACACAAGCCAAATGGATGAACTTGGGTTCAAGTTTCATTCTTGGCTTCTTCGCAGGGCTTCTAAGAAATGCACTATCGGTGTTTTGTTCTCGTAATTACATTGAATCTACAAGCGCTATATGAAAAAAGTACACAACTAGAGTTAAATAAGTATCTAGAGTTGTTCTTAAAGGGGGTGTGAGTGGGGGGAACTAAGTACGCTAGACTATACAATTATTGGAAGGGGGTTGTTTTTTACAACTACAGACGAATGGGTTTTGTTTTTGTATCTATGATAACAGCATTCAGAAGGCACACATCAGAGCAACTGCGTCCGCAACTGGCAACCGACAACTGGCGATGCCTCCCACAAGGCACTTGGGTACTACGTGGCAAGATTGATATCCAAAATTAACTCATTTCTTCTGGCAGTGTGTTCTCTCTTTCTCACTTTATCTCACTTCCTCTTTCTCTGTGCAACTAGACTCGCGTCTCCGTGCTGCGACTGCGCAGCAGTTGAAGCGGCTGCAGCTCCCGCTGCGTATCATTGTAGTACTCATGGTCGGAGCTGGTGGACTCGCTGCCAGGCATTTTCACCTCCATGGTGCCGGGCACACCCGCAACGGGTATGCCAATCGTCTGTGTGGGCATCGGCGCCTCCCCAGCGCTGAGTGCGTTCAGCAGATACTCCGGATTGTCGACGCTAACGGGCACCTGGTTGTGGGACAGAGCAAGAATTGGATTAGTATTCGCCTGTTTATTATATTCCCATCGTTTACTTACGCCAATGACATCGATGTAACCGGTGGCTGCGGCTGTGGCCATGTTGTTGTTGGGATTGTTGCTGTTGTTGTTGTTGTTGTTGTTGTTGCCGTTGGGATTACCCTGTCCCGTGGGCATCAAGTAGTCATCCTCGTCAACCGGCAGGTCAAGGCGCAGATTTCCCACGCCGACTTCGCGTGCATTGGAATCGGTTTCATCGTCGCCGCCGATGCCGCCGCTGTTTGAGTTCTTGTTGCTGGGATCTTTGCAGTAGCGATTGAGTTTGGGTATCTCATCGGTGCCGTCGGTGCGATGGCTGGGACCCGGTGCCGCCTTTGGCTGCAGATAATCGTCCGCCTCGACCATGGGCTCCGAGCCGTCTGTGGTGGGCGCCAGCTTGCGTATGAGATCCTTCTCGTCCTGGCTCGTATAGGCGGGCAGGCGCGTGAACTTGTCGCCGGGTATGGCCAGATAGCGGCCCGGATCGCGTGCGAATTCGGCAAACACATTGGTCAGTTGCTTGAAGGGCGGACGCAAGTCGGCGTCCAGCTGCCAGCAGGAGAGCAGCGTGCAATAAATGTCTAGGGAGCAGATCTCGGGCTGTTCCAGCTTCAGGCCCATCTCGATGAGATCGGGTATATCCTTTGCGAGTATATTCTCGTGGGGTCGCTGGCCAAAGGTCAACAGCTCCCAAATGGTCACGCCGAAGGCCCACACATCCGACTTGCTGGAGAAGACGCGATGCCTGATGCACTCGAGGGCCAACCACTTGATGGGCATCTTGCCGCCAGCTGCTTTGTACTCATTCGAGTCCAGACTCAGCAGCTTGGCCAGGCCGAAGTCCGTGATCTTCACCAGGGAGGGCGTCTGCACCAGCACATTGCGTGCGGCCAGATCTCGATGCACGAGGCGCCGCTCCTCCAGATAGGACATGCCCTTGGCTATTTGGGTGGACCAGTTGAGCAGCGCCTTAGAGCCAATCTTGTCGCGATTATTGCGCACATAGTCGAGCAAGCAGCCGAGCGGCATCAGCTGTGTTATGAGCATCATTTGCGAGGACATGCAGACGGCCAGCAGCTTGAGGAGATTGCCATGCTCCACGGTGGCCATGGCGTAAGCTTCGTTAAGGAACTCCTGACTGGACTCGGCGCCAGATGTCTTGAGCAGCTCCTTAATGGCCACGGGTATCTTGACATTCTCGCCCTCTGGCACCCAGACGCCCTTGTAGACACGCCCGAAGGCACCCATGCCCAGGACGCCGCCTTTGCGCAGCTCCGCGTCCTTGACAATACGCAGCTTGCTGAGATTGGCGCCAATGTTGGAGGGGCGCAACGGTTCCGAGTCCTCGCAGCCGAAGAACACCTTGGCCAGGTCGTCCGTTTCCTTCTTCTCCTGTTGCTTCTGCCGGCAGATGTAGATGATGACACAGAGCACGCAGATCACGGGTATAAAGACGGCCACAAAGATGATGATAATCATGTTCACATTCAGGCCGGCGGTCAGCTTGGAGCCACGCGGCGGACTGGACGCACAGTGGGGTCCGATGAAGTGCGACTGATAGTTGACATGCGGCAACTCCGGCGGGCACTTGGAGGTACAGTTGAACAGGGTCGAATTGTCGTACACCTCGCTCTCGGCGAAGAGCTTGAAGTTACGGCAGGCCAGGCAGTCCTCGGAGCCGGGTCCAGTGCAGCCCTTGCACTCCGGATGGCACTCGAAGCACTCGCGCTTCTCCTCGTCCGCATAGTGATCCGCCGGGCATTCGTCCTCGCACTGCTCGCGTCGCTTGTAGCCGGCGCACTTGGAGCACACCTGCTCATGGAAGCCGTAGTTGGTGCACAGCTCGCAGCGCGGATGGCACTTGCGGCAGATGGCCTTGCCGGCCAGCGGCTTGAGCGAGCCCTGCTCCTGCGGATGCACATACTCCCAGTAGTAGCCGTCGGGGCATTTGTCATCCTTGCGCAGGCAACGCTCCACCGTGGCATCCGCATTGATAATGGCCAGATTGCACGTGTTGCAGGCGCCGTGTCCAATCGTATTGTTGGGTCCCGTGCAGCCCTCGCAAGTCTCGTGGCACCTGCGGCAGATGCCAAAGTCCGAGTACTTGTTCTCCGGACAGACGGTCACGCAATGCTGATCGTCGCGCACATGGACGCACTCGTCGCAGTGCTCGGCGCCGGGTCCCGAGCAGGTGCGGCACTCCGGATGGCACTTCTTGCAGGTTTTCGCATCGAACTGGTAGGTTCTGTGAAATAAAAGAAGAAGGCGTTAGCAAGATTGACAAGCTGAATGGGTGAGTTGGACACTTACTTGGTGACATTGCGACAGTCGGCGATGCAGGTGCCATTGTAGTTAAAGCTCTTGCAGTTCAGACACTGGTCCGGGCCGGCGCCCCAGCAGCCGTCGCTGTTGCATTGATCCGAGCAAACCTGACGCGCCTTGCCTGCGGGGTGAAAGAGATTGACTTAGACCCGAAAATTCAATTGCTTGGATAAGCAGCTACTTACGGCACTCGGAGGTGTTTAGGTTCTCGTTGATGTACTGCATCTGATCGTTGGACTTCTGCACCGTCGACCAGCGTATGTTGCTCACGTAGCAGAGCTTTTCGTTGTGCTGGATGACAATGCTGCCGGAGTTGATGCGCTTCAGATTGCGAAGCTCCAGGCTGGAGAGTGAGGACTTGACAATCGAGAGCGCGGCAAAGAAGCTCTCCATGAGCTGACGGCCGTGAATGACCTCCAGATTGCGAAAGTAGGACAGATTCTTGAAGTGCTGATGCACACCCTCAATATTCAGATAGCCCGTGATCTCTTTCACCGTGGAGAACACCTCCAGGCGGTCGGGATGCATGGGTATATAGCGTGCGCCCATCGTATAGTTCGAATTGATGTCCTGGTAGCCGGAGAAGGTCTGATCCAAGACACGTATATTGCCCTCAATGACGGTGCAGTTCTTGAACGAATCGATGTTGCCCGAGTTGAGAACTGGCACGCCGGGGCAGGTCTTCGGGCAGGGCCCATTGCAAGCCACGCACTCGCCATCCTTGGCCATCTTGTCGGAGGGACAGCTGCGCACACAGGCGCCGTTGTCCTTCAGTAAATGGCCGGGACACTCGCGCACACAGGTCGCACCGTAGGCGTACTTGCCCTCGGGATTCGCCTCCAGCTCGTAGTTGGTGGGATTGTATTTGCGCATGGGCGGGCACTCCTCCTTGCAGACGCCATCGTCAAAGAAGTTCTTACACGCAATGCAATCCTTCTGCGTCGGTCCCGTACAGCCGCCGGCGCAGAACAGATGACAACAGTCCCTCGGGCCCTGGCCAAAGCAACGACCCTGGGCACACTGTGGGGCGCAGTTGATTTTGCTGAACTTCTGGCAATTGTGCGGTCCCTCGCCCCAGCAGGCGCCTCGCTCGCAGGACGGGTCGCATTTGGGGCATGTGCGCTCCTCGGCGGTAAAGTTGTACGTGTAGTTGTAGTGATCGTTCACCCCGGACAGGATCTCGCGCCAGACAATGGAGCGCGTGTGGCACAGATTGTAGTTGCTGAAGAAACCCACCCAGCCCTGCAGTATGTCCCGCAGCTCGGGCATCTCCAGCGTGTTCATCTTCGAGTACGCGGCAAACAGGGCATACTTCGCCTCGTCGACAGTTAGGCTGAACAGCGTGCGGCCGCGTATGATTTGAAGTCTGCAAGCAAACGGACATTGGAATCAGGTTAGTTTCCCGTACTTCCAGAAAAAAGCCTCGGTGACCTTCTCGACTTACTTTGGAAATATCACTTTGGTCACGTCCACATGACTGATCAGTATGTAGCCCGTCACCTCGCGTATGTTGGCCAAAAAGCTGAGATCCAAATTGGGATCCTGCAGCCAGGTTAGCTCCAGATTGCCATCGACGTAGGTGCAATTCGTGTAACGATCGCGCAGATTGCGATAATGATGATCCCGATTCGAGGGCACAGACAGGCGACTCTTGGTGCCAATACAAACTGTAAGGAAGACGCAAGAGTTAAAATTTAGCTAAGATGAATTTGAGTTGGTTTAAGGAACATTCCTTTGATTGGGCGGGAGAAACAATTTATATAGGTTGACTTAAAATAGATTGGAGCTTAGAGCTAAATATTATTTGATAGAGGAAAACTCGATATAGATTCGTTTTCTGCCCGGATATAGGGTAGTTAGCGTAAGTTTCAATTGGCTGCGGTGAATTTTGTTAAGAAAAATTAGGTCGCCACATGGCTGGGGCCAGAGGGAAAGTAAAGACATTTCATGCTTGATTTCAGCGGAACAGCGCATTGTGTGTGGGCTGTGTTTAATTTTGAGAGGTTGTCTAATTAGAGCCAGAGGTAGGTGTTGAATTATGTGCTACAGGTGAATGCAAATGCTAAGAAATTAAAATTAAAATCAAAATGAATTTCGTTTGAATTATAAACGGAAATAGCAGAGCTGGAGCTGAGCGCAAGTTTGTTGCCTAAGTCTTTTGTATTTAACGCTCGGAAGCAATGAAAACAACTTAAACAAAAAGTTAAATAACAACAACAAAACAAGTGGGCGCTGCCAAGTCGCAGTTCAGTTGGCGTTTTCAATAATTAGCAGCCCACGCAGACTCAGACCCAGACTCAGATTCAGAGTCAGAGTCAGAGGCAGAGGCAGAGTCAGAGACGGGCCCGACTCCGACGGTCGGCTGTTATCATTAGTCAGCGACCTGTTTTGGCTGCCAGCCTAAACAGAGACGTTTCGTGTGCATCTCCCAGCATTTGCATGGCCAACTACTAGGCTGATTATATTCTATGAAAGGGCTACGTGGGTCGCGGTACGGGTCGTGGTACGCGGCCGTCCGTGTGGGCCGCAAAAGTGTGCCATGTGTCGAGAGACAAAGCTGGAGCTGCAGTTCGAAGACATAGACACCCACTTGCTGTGGCCCACGGGCAACGGGCACGCCCACCACTTACTCGGCTAATTATCGAAAAGAAGAAAAGAGAAGAAAAAACAAATATCGATAGCCATAAATATTGCGCATTTTATTGATTTCGTTTCGTGGAACGGCAGCACGTAAAAGCGAAAAAATTTCAAAATAATTATGAAGAAAGATTCGCAACGAAATATTGGCAGAAATATTTTGTTTGTCGCCAAAGCGAAATGCGAAATGCGAAATTCTTGAGTTTGCCTGGGAAACGTACAAAAAAAAAAAAGAAGACAAAAACTTAAATGCCTGCAGTTATGCGCCGCAATGCATGCCGCGGGCCCAACAACACACTGGACCAGGCTTAAAAGACAACAACAACAACAACAACAGCGGCAACAACAACAGCAGCAGCAGAATAAAAGGTGAGGCTGCAGTTGACATTGGGACCTGGGTCCCGAAGCGGCGCACATTGATCAAAAGCGCGGCTGCTGGCAAATCGAAGCGCAAAAATTTTCGTACAAATTCTTGGCCTTTGTTTTTGTCCTCAACTGTTGCTGCTGCTGATGATGCTGGCACGAACAGTGAGAGAGAGAGGGGGGAGAGGGAGGGAGCGAGAGCCGCTGGCCAGTCTACTCTTTTGCCATTTCTCATGCCGAACGCCGCATGAAACCCTTTTCAAGCCGAACTGCGACTCCGACTGCGACTGCGGCTTTATCGCGCACAATTTATCAGCAGAGTTTTTCATGTTGCTCCTTGCCTGAAACTTAAGACACGAACTGCGAGCGGCAGCAGCAGCAGCTGGCGGTGGGGCTGTGGCAGGGGGGCATGTTTCTTGTGAAATGCCTCAGAGATGTTGCATATGCGATTTTTCTTTGCGCTGCGGACACGCCCGCATTAACTGCCTCTCTCTCTCTCTCACTGTTTGTGTGTGTTTGTGTGTGTGCTTGGCTGTGGCAAAAAGGCTAATTTGTAATCCTTAGGCTAAGCGTCGCGACGCTAATGAGCGACCGACTCTTTCCCTCTCTCTCGCTCTTAATCTGTGCAGCTATCTCCGTCTGGCAACAAATCCAAGTCATAATTCAAGCGATGTGCTCATTAAAACAAAAGACTTAGGCAACGAACTTGAATGTACTATAACATTTAGCAGCTAAGTGGGGTAGAGCGGGGCGAAGGGGGCCTCATTGTATTTGTTTATCGATTGTATTTGCTTAGCCATCAACAGAACAAAGAAGATGATGATGATGACGACGACGACGACTCGTCTTCAACTTCGCCCTCTGCCCCGGCCCTAGCTAGCCCCCTCCCCATGCCCCTGCCACTGCCACAACGTTAACCCCTTCGTTGTATTGCTGACGCGCTGATTAATAGACCCAACCGCATTCCAAGCTTCGCTGTGCTGACTTTCTAAATATTGTGTTTTTCTTCGACTCGGCTTCGATCTTTTTGCTGCTGGTGAAAAGGCCACAGCGTGTTGGCAAGCGGGGCGGGCTAAGGGGGGGCGCTGAGGCTGAGGCTGAGGCTGAGGCTGCACGACGCATTTTCGTGTGGCAAGTCAAACGGCTGCATAATCGATTTGAATGCTGCAACGACTAGAACTTGAGAGGGAGAGAGAGTAAGTCTAGGCAAGGAGCAGCAGACTCCAAACTCGAGACTCGAGTCACAGTTCTCGCTACTCGCTTCTCTCGCTGCTCAGTTCTCTGTTTCAGACATGAGACTCGCTTAGCCGGTTCTGTCTGTGTGCTGTTGTTGTTGTTAATGTTGTTGTTGTTGCGCACGTTTATGTGCCTCGCCCCGCTGCGTACCTCTTCATCATCAACAACATCGTCTTCAGCTTCGTCTGCCGCTTCTTGTTCTTTTTCCCTCGAGCTGTCTGCTGTGTCTGTGCGTGTGTGTGTGTGTGTGTATTTGTGTGTATTTTCATTTCGTGGAAAAGATTTTTAACTCTGTGGCCGAACCATCTGGATTGCTGAGTTGTACCTTTGCCTAAGGCTACAACAACAACAACAACGGACCATAGATTCTTGTTGTTGTAAAATAACAAAAGATTTAAAAGGGCATTAAGCATGCTTTGTTTTTTACCTACATAGAATTTATGTTTGCTCAGCATGCCCCATAGCCCCCCCACCTCCCTTCACCATAGCCTTTTAGTGGGCAGATTCTGATCAACAAAATTACAAGGCGTCGGCCGTTATGGCCGCAAGCTGTTGCCACAATTCGAACTGAGACACAAGTACATTGATCTCTGAACAAAAAAAAACAAAGCTGCGGTGAAAGTTCGTCATATATCGAACTATATATTTATATATATATATATATATATATATATATATATGCAGATGCAGCGCCATGTGCCGCCATGTGATTAGGTGTCACAGATTAGCCGTGCGCCTGTGTGTGTTTGTTGTGGCAACAATTTTGCAGTTGCTGTGGCAGCTGCCCCGCAACGTTGCCACATAAATAATTCATAACTGTTTTGCGACAATTCAGTCGCGGCACGCGTTCAATTTACAATGAAATTGTGTAAAAGTGCGCTTAATAAATTCATTTGCGACTGCCCATTAAATACACGCAGCTCATTATGGGTAAACCCGCACCCCCTCCCCCTCTTCATCACCGCAGTCGCCCCTCCTTCTCCTCCTTCTCCGTCGCTGGCCACAGGCCAAGCGGCAACTGCGCTGATCTGGCGCTTGGTTACGTGCGCGGATTTCGCAAACAATTCTGCGGCGCGGCAACTTTCTTTCATAAGTGGTTGTTGTTGTTGTCAGTTGTTGCCCAGTTGCTGTTGTTGTTGTTGTTGTTGTTGTATTCTATGTCGTGGCGTCACGAAGACAAAGGCAAATAAGCGCAACGAGCTGCGGCCAAGCTGCAAATCTTTCGCAGAAAACGCTGCAAGCGCATCTTCAACAAATTTGCAGCGCCAGATCATGCAACACAGCAACAAAGCACCGCGACAGGGCCAAAAACAAAACAACAAAAACAACAACAAGAAAAACAGCTAAGAAGCTAAAGACCTCAAGCCACAAAATGCTGGCCCTGGCTTGAGGTTTGCTGCGCTTTTTGTTGCCCATTTCGTGTTCGATGCGCGTTCATTTAGTTTTGAGCACAACAATTGGGCGCAGGTCGTGCCTCACGACAACAACAACAACTGCGAGTGGAGGCAGATGCTGCAGCTAAACAATGCGGCCATTAGATAAGCCCGCCGATTGCACCGATTGAGCCTTGTGCAAAGTCCAAGCGAGAGAAACCGCCAGCAGCAAAGCTCAGCTCCAAAGCTGGTTTAATGAGCACGCCCTGGCGCTATTTTTGGTGCCAAGTCGAATGCTGGACTCAAAGCATATTCAGTACATCAACATTTTAGCTATTTTTAGGCATAGAACCAAGCGCACAGCCAACAAATACGTGGGCAGAGGCACAGTGGGGTCGAGTCAAAAAAAAAAAAAAAAACAACATTTACAAAATATCAATAAATCGAATTTAAACAAAAAATAAAAGAAAGAATGTCCTTACAAAGGACTCTCTCTCTAACAAAAATTGACAATGTCTGCTGCCTTTAAGAAATTATGATTTTGGCAGCGAAAACGTGCTTGGGTCCCACTGTGCGTAGTTCGTATCTGCGGAAGCTGTTGTTGCTGCTGCTGTGGCTGTGACTGTGACTCTGGCTGCTGCAAGTTTCGAAATCGAAACGCCCACACAGAAAACAACAACAACACAAAGAGCAGACTGTAGCTGTGCCTAGCTTTTAGGGTGGACCACAACAGCAAGACACAGCATTTTGTAAAGCGACAATTGAGAAAAAGTTAAAGTGCAGTCTCCAAAAGTTGTCAAGAAAAAGTGTCGTAAAATGTGTAAATTCAAGTGTGTGTGTGTGTGTGTGTGTTTGTAAGCAGAGAGCAAACAAAAGAGAGCAGAGCGAGAGCGAGAGAGAGAGCTGAGAGCTGCGCAGTCGCAGCAGCCAGCGCAACGCTTGCAACTGAGCTCTGCGTCTAGCTGTGTCTGTGTGTTTGTTGTGTGTGTGCGCGCGTGTGTGTGTGTGGGTTTAGAAAACCAGTATTTTTATAAAGACTAGGTACTGCGCACTCTATA